TGTCTTCATTTTTTTTTTTTTCAAAATCTGCGTCACAGAAGTAATAAGGAAAAAAATGCATACATAAATGTACTTCTGTTTCTTCTTCTCTTTATGCTAGTGCTATTACAATTTTTTTTTCATGTTTTTTTTTTGTTTTTCCAATTTTCCTTTTTATCCACACTAAAAACAATTTTTTTCCTTGTGTTTTACTTACCATCAAAGCAGGCAAATAATCATAAAATGATATTATTTCTCTTTTTTCTTTTTTTTTCCTTCTTTCTTCTTTTTTTTTTCTTTTTTTTTTCTTTTTTTTTTTTTTTTTTTTTTTGACAGTAGCACGACTTTCAAAGAAAAATAAATGCACCCCTTCTCCCGGTCGACTCACTTGCTCTTTTATATCATTCAGTGGTTTCTGAAAAGTAAATAACGTAATATTTTTTCAGCATCCACACATAGCCTTCTTTTTCTGCTGTGGCGGTGGCGGTGGCGGTGGTGGTGTGGGCTCCTCCTTTTTAGGCGCAGCAGCAGCAGGGACAGACTCTTTAGGAGCTGCCGCTGCCGCTGCCGCTGCCGCATCCCTGAGAGCACGTTGCCTTTCTTCTTCTGCCTTCGCAGCCGCATACTCTTTCCTCTGTTTTCCCAAGGCCACCCTCCCTTCATCTCCATACATGGCCTCCATTAGTCTTTCAGCAGGAATAGAACCGGTGTTCTCCCTGTCCAGAACGTCAAAGAGCGCATCAATTTCGTCAGCGCTCAGTGCATCCTGACTTGAACCAGTCTTCGCGGCAATCTCCTGAAGAGAAACGCGAGTGAATAACCCATTCGGTGCAAGCACAGAAACGTGCTTCGCCATCATCCTTGCGTCCAAACAATTGTTAGGATTTTTTTCACAAAGCGAAACAAATTCGTCCTTTGTCAAAAATCCAGGATACCTTGCGGAATCAGTGGCCTCTTCTATGGAGGATAGCTTAAAACGGTATCCAGATTCAAGCGCAGCAACAAGTGCCAGAGATGGAGGAATGACTTTGTCTCCATCATCGCGCTGCAGGTGACGTTCCTCAAAGGCTTCAGCTGGAGAAATGGGCATGGTTCTTAAATTTTAAAAGACAAAAAAAAATTTTCACTTATCACTAGACAAAAGAATTAAAATGTATTTAGTTTACAAAAGAAAAAAAAGTCGGCAAAAAAAAAAGAGAAAAGTCTTGCCACCAGGGCTCCATTATCTATTAACTAGTATTTCGCCTTGTCAGGTAAATATATCTCAACAATCTTGTGTTAAATATATGCAAGCATATGGTCTTCACAACTTTACAGTGGCTCCATGGATCTTGAGCTTGAAATAAACAACCCCATATCACCCACACGACGAAAAACAGAACCCATTTCGTTGGTAGTTGGGTCCATTTTGTTTGGATAGAGTTTATTCTTAAACAATACCCAATCAAATTCATTATCAAACCCTTTTCCACTCCCCCTAGCAAGAGCTTGTGACTGCTGTGACGGCAAATAATACCTGCTTCCTCTCAAAGTTTCTGGAACTTCCCCATTAGAAGAAAAAGATGATTGTGCAACACGCATTTTTTGAATCTGTTTCGCCATCTCTTTAATTGCTTCATTACTTGAGTACAAAGAAAGTGCATCATTTATAATTCTTTCAGCCTTGTCAATATCATCTTGGTATGCTACAGCAGCAGCCCACACTGCGTGACCTTTGGCCCCTGCACCGGAAACCGATTTCGCTTCGGGTTGCAAAAGTGCTGCCTCCCTTCCATTGTATTCGGCCTGTCTAAATTTCCCATTCAAGAAAGAGCTAATAGCTAAATTTGCATGTGCAGCAGCCTTTGTATCTGAATCATGACAAAAAAGCAGTGCATCCGCCAACATTGAACTTGCATCATCGTAATGGCCAAGATCGACACAGCCCTCAGAAATAGTTGTTAACAAGCAAATTAATTTCTTTTCGTCGGCTGCAGTGGTATCTGGGGGAGAAGCCACAGCTCCTACAAACTTACCCAACTCATTACCAACCATATCGACCTTTTGTGCAGTCACATAAGATTCTTCGTCCTCTCTCCCAGGCAGAAATTTCTCCAGACTTTCTCTAGCCAAACGGCGGTGTGGTGTACTTCCTTCTCTCTCAATCAATTTCCGGTATTCAAACAAATCATCCAAAAATCTTTCCTTTAGCACGGTATTAGACACCACAGCACGAAGTCCAGTAGGGGAAATTTTAAAACCAAGTTGCCTCTCAAATTTCTTTAGTGTCGCAAGTAAAGGCGTGACGCTTGGTTTAACTGCTCTATAGCCACGCGTGGGTTCCATTTCTGGAAACGCTTCAACCGCATCAAACAAATCTTTGGAAGCGTCACAAAGTTCTTCCAATGGGTCTTTTACAAAACAACAAAGCCACTCCTCTACTTCAATCGGTACGTGCTCTTGCTGATATGCTAACAAGAACTCCTGTAAACGGAATGGTGTTTCTCTGCCAGTAGGAAAACATCCTAGAGTCCACCAATATTTCATAGTATATGGCCCTGGCCCTCGTGGACCGGGAAATCGGTACAAATACAACGTCGGATTCATAGTCATATGCTTTTGATGCTTCGACCCAGGACACCAACCGCCCCTCTGGTAGCTACGATAGATAGAACTACGCGAAAAAATGTTGCGTGTCATCTCTTCTTTTTTTTTTCTTATATATATATATATACTCAGTTTAAAAGAACAAATACCCGGATTTCTTACAAAATATAATGTTGAATAATCTTCCGGGAAGCTGGCCGGATCCTGAAATTATCTATGGAAACCAAACAAATTAGGAAAAAAGGTTCGTTAGTTAATTGCTTCAATGTTTTATTCTCATTCAATATATAGAATTCTGTGGACCACCAGCATGGTCCTTTGTCCTTAGTTAGGATTTGAATATTATTACTTACGAAGTGGCAGACTTTGGGGTCCTCCAACCACAAGACCCCGCCGCTTGGTGGGAATCAAGGGGGTTAGGGTGGGATAGCAAGATAAAAACAAATCTTATCTGGCCTCTATCGGTTCCCCAACCCTTAAAGTCGTTTTCTTCCCAAAAATTCATACGGTAGAAAAGTACCATAAAGAAATGTACTCGATCTATCAGGATATACACATTAAGTTAGCCAGCTCTCCCGCGATCATTCTCTTCACAAGCTCTTAAAAAAAAAAAAAAAATTCCCATCAAAAAATAAAAAAAGCAATGACTCACAATAAAATAAAATTATTCCCTCCATAGTTCGCAAGCATATTAACTGCCATCTCATTCTCGTCATTCCATGGTTCGATTGTTCAACAAAAGTCAACAACAACAAAAAAATATTATTGGGCAAATTGTCTCAAAAGGCGTATCCAATTAATGTACTCCTCTTGCTCAAAAAAGTGTGCCTGAGCCATCATATACTCAGCAAACCCGTTGTTCACACCACGCTCATCAAGATAGTCCAATATCTCGTCGGAAAAGTCATCATCCAGCTCACTCAGCATTGGTCCACGATATCGATTATCTCTGCAGCTTCGACAAGAAAGATTACTCTTTTCGATAATCCTATTGGAAATACCATCCCTGCTCGTGCTCACTGAAAGCGCACCATAAGCATCCTCTAATTCTTCCCTGTTGTTGTGAATTGCCAATGAATCCATCACCAACTCCATGTCAATGGAAGTCAATCCGAACTCCAAAGCACCCGGAAAGCGATTTTTCTGAACAAATAATGTGAAAAATAAATATTCCTCTTCTTCGCGTTCTCCATTGTCCATACGATATGTTCCCTCGTATTCCTTCACCTCCATCATTGCTACAGCATGTAAATGTTCTTTGCCACAATCACGAATCTCTACTGATTTTCGGAGATCAAACCTGTTGCTGCCTTTTGCATGTTCCAACTTCCATCCCGTTGGAACCACAGGCTTCGGAGGCAAAAAGTCGCGGAGTCCCTCCTCATTTTCTTCACGAATCGTTAGCTTGTGAAGCTTACGATGACGACGGGGCAATACCTGGCGTTTCCTCTGCTGAGCCACTCCCTCATTTTTTATAGAAGCATCTAAGGCATGGGAAAATACACGTTTCAGTTTATTTGTCTTGCAACGCGAGAATAAACGATACATTCTGAAACAGTAAAAATAATAATAAATAGAAATCAATGCCGGGGGAAAAAAACTTTCTTCTCTTAGTACGGGTTTCTGCTCTACCTTTATAAAGAAAAAATATGACCCCACGTATTCTCACAACAATTTGAAAACGAATACCAATAGCAAAAAAGTATATATATAGACACACACAATGGATTCACTCAATGTCTTTCACAGGGAATATTCAGACACAAGACACCGTTCCACGTTGCAAACACGCCCGCGAGCAGGACAGACTCACAAGAAAAGCTGAGACAACAAAAATGACACGATCCAAAAACTTCAAAAACAAAAAAACAAAAGCCAACTCACTCACCCCCGATCGACCGAGCCAAGAATTAATCACACAGCACGCTCACGGAGCCGACAACACCATAAAATAAAGCTGAAACAGCCCCTTCAAGCCCCATTCCGCAGACAGAACCACACGCCCCGTAGCCGCACGGTTCGGAAAAAAGCGGTGCCCCGTCCCCGTGTGGCGCGGGCCGCTTTCGCAACGCGCCCCGGGCTTTTTCGGCAGCGTTTTTAATATCTGTGGTTTCAAAAAAACGGCAAGCGCTTCTCTTCTCCCACCGCGGTTTTCCCCCCGGCACCCGGCGGGGCCGCTCGCTGCCCCGAACCGTCCTTCTTTAGAAGCCTGTGAAGAGAATGTTCGCGGGCAAGCTGGCGTCCCCAATGTATATGTGTCCTGATGAAACGGAGATATATTTCTGCACGACTGTTCGTCCCTATTTTATGGACTTTTGACTGGCCGCGACGGAAGGAATCAGGGAACGAATGACGCCTGGACGCTTTATAATTATTTTTCTTACAACCACACGGTATCCCTGCAAGCTGGTTGAAGGAAATGACAGTGGTTTCTTTTACACGGCGACGGGGAGAAGCGACATTGGAGCCCGCCTGTTGGACTCGGTGCGCCAGTACAGCGATGTCCGGGTGCAGCTCACTTTTATCGATGAGCACGGGCCGTTGGATGCGGTGGTAACCGTCGCTGCAACAATGACAGACCAACGCTTGGTTCCAGGAACCATCGCCAAGCACTGGGAGGATGCGATGTATTGCGGGACGTATTGCGAGTCTCCGGACGCCTCAATTGTCAAATTTCGAGGCTCAGATGCTCCTGCCCATCGTGTGTGTGCTGCCCGGGGGTTGTGGGTCCAGCAAGGGCTGACCATTGCTGGAAGAGCGGAGACTGAACACCGACCACGCCAGCGCCGTCGCCGACGCTCGGAGTCGGCGTGCGCAGCTTTACTCTCAGGTGGAAGAGGCGCATAATTACTTGTCGGCGCGCGAATGTCACATTGCGGTGGCCCGCGGTCCTCTTGCGGGACGCGGAGACGCCGCGCCAACGAGAAGCGCCCACCCCTCGGAGAGGGCCACCAGATCAGCCCCCACGCATGCATGCGCGACGATGGCGTCAGCACACGGCCACACCAACCGCATCGTTGATGGCTGGGGGCGTGCCAACATCCACGTTTCCCCAACGCACTCTCACGGGAGAGAGACGGCGGGTCAGCACCCAAACGTCTCAGGGCAATGTGGGGAGGCCACACCTCCCTCACTCGATGCCCTTGCCCTCCCGCGCTTCCCCCTTGGAAGATGACTCCGGTCCAGAGAATCAGTTACTGCATTTTCTTGCGTTCGACGTCGCCACTTTGGTCCCGCGTGTATGGAACGAGGGCGTCTCCGGTGTCCTCCTCGTCGACCCCCGATGCGCATACAGTTATTATTGGCACTAAATGGACGCTCAGGTTCAAGTTGCCTTTGACGGTTTGGTATCGTGCAGGCGCGCGCTGGAGATAGATCGGGATCCCACCGATCAGCTCATGGATTTTGGCAGGGCCCTACTGCGGACCTTCCGGATGCAGATCATGATGGCGTCCGACCTCGGCATCCCGCTCCCCAAACTTCGCGACCGCCTTCGAATGGCTGTTCACGGGGCTGACACCTTCGCGAGGGCAACCCCGCCTCTCGAGTAACGGCAAGCTACCCAACAACAACAACAACGACTGTTGCGATGCCGATTGTGTCGTGTTTGTGGACAAGACGCGTCTGCATGCAACGTGCGCGGCGCAGTCAGAAGAAATGACTTGCAGCACGGACGGCCGCCAAAAAACGGCGAGGGGCTGCCAGCCGCTTATGAAGGCGGAAGAAAGCAGCCCCATCCACTCCACCACCTCCCGCTATTCCGCAAAGACGTCGCACCGCACCGCCGATGCTTCATCCGATATTACAAATTGCCCGACGCAATCGTCGAGAAGAGAAATGGAGCTTATTTGCTAACGACGCTCGACTGTGGTACGACGAATTACCGACATCCCGCTTTGGGCCGGCCACATGAGGAGCGCGAACGAGTAGGCTTGAGAAATGTGGGCCCCGTCAACGTGGGAGCAGAGAATGTCCCTGGCAGGGCAGTTTTCAACTTTTTGTGCTTTGCTGCACGCACGAACAGCCGATCAACGAGGAGAGCTGCGCGGCCTTTTTGGTGGCAATATTGGATGTGGCGCCATCCACCCGACAGCAGCACGCCAGGATGCTGCGGTCCATAGTGTAAATAAATTCAACCCCGCTGGACATGGTGATTCTGGGGTCACGAAGAATTGCGGCGCGACCCGAGACGAAGCAGGCGCGCCCCTTGACAGAGGAAGAGAGGGATGAGTTTATCCGCGGCCGAGCCGATTGGAAGCAACGTGTTGTTTTCTGAAATGCGTGGATAACGACAAGCCGTTGGTCCGGGATTGCGTCCTTGACACCCAACAATTTCACACCGGAGCCGGACGGGACCGTGGTTTTGGATTGGTCCGTCGCGCCGAAGACGGCGAGGGCGGATCCCCAACGCGCCCCGCGGTTCGTCGGGATACGAGGGCAGGACGCGTTAGACATTATAAAGCTATGCAGGACACTTCAACACAACGAAAAGCTCACAAATCTTACGACCGCCCACGTCGAACGAGCTCTGGCTCCTTGGAATGCCACGGCGCATTCCATAAAACGCGGTGCGTTGCGGCGCGCGGCTCAAATTGTGGAGAAACACAGTTTGGACCCACACGTGATCTTGCAGTTGGCGAAGCACGTCGACCCGTTCGACCTTCCCCAGAATACTGTTCGATATTTGGGGAGATACACCACACTGCTGACCCAGGTGTCGTCGCTGGTCGCATTTTTGTAAATGGACGAGCTGCTGAAGTGCAAGAACCCTGGTTAAGAGCAGAGGAGCGTTTTTTTCATGATCTTTATCATCATGCCGCTACAATAGCGAGACGCGCCACAAGGACGCTTCTGGCCACTCCACAAGATGAACACGCTATCCAGCTACAGCAGGTTAACGTGCCCGTATTGAATCTGGAGTGGATTAAAAGCCGGTTGAAACCGGCTACCTTGGAGAGGCTCATGCAAGTTTGTGGCCTTGTCGGGCGGTCCCCTCTCCCTCCGTCTTCCTCCGGTAAAGCGCGCGAAGGCTCACGGAGGATTCCAACCGCTGACGCGCGATTGTTACGAAAAGCAGGAATAATCGAGGACGGTTCGTCCACAATAACGGGCGGATGGATAATTCCCCTTTTTAGTTGTGGAGGAGAAAACCACCGGTCTACGACGACGATGGATTGCGTGGCCACGCGACAAGAACAGAGACGACCCTTCTGAGACTCATGCTCCTCTTTTACACATTTCCCATTATTTGCCGCCTGTGATGGCTGAGGCCGCTTCCTGCCTGGATTTAAAGGCATCCTTTTTCCAAGTCTCTTTACCGCGGGATACTCGGCATCTCTTTCGATGCCGCGTGGAGGACGGCACGCTGGAGGAGCTGGCACGGCTCCCAATGGGATACAAGGCCGGCCCAGAAATTCTCCAGATTATTATTACTTCAGAAATTGCGGGGGTGACGACGGTGGTTCGCCCCCTCTGGGCTGCACCTCCATTGGTGCGCGCCGTCGTATGGATCGATGATGTGCGCATTGCCCTGGCTCAGCCGGCCACCTCAACGTGGTGCCAGGGTCTAGTACTCTTTGCTAGAGAGGAAGCTAAGCGCCTGCTGCCCATCCGCTGCCCGCGGAGAGGCAGGAGGCGCCGCACAAACGGGTCGGAAGGGCACCAGATGGAGCCATTTACATGGCTGCCCGCGGAGCGGTATTTCTATCCGCTGCTGAATTCCATCGGCGCTTATCAGCGCTATACATACCGTTTGCGTGCCGTATGCGACGCGCAACGACAAAAGCTACTTCTAAGCGGAGACATCGAGCAGAACCCAGGCCCCATAGCAGTACTCCAGATGAACGTTTCTTGCCTCACGCCGTCAAAACTCGCAACATTAATGGCGCAAGGAGCAGACATAATAGCCATTCAGGAGACATGGAAGTCGTCCGAGCAGATCGCCAGCATGCACACTGGAGAGTATGTGCTCTATGCACAGTCGCGCATCGGCAAGGGAGGCGGTGTGGCGGTGCTGGTGCGGAAAACTCTCCGCTCCAAGTGTATACCCCTCACCATCCCCCAGCATGACACCAGCCTTGAATTGGTGGTGGTCCAGGTTGCTCTGGACCAGAACCGTAATCTTATTGTAGCGAGTGCCTATATGAGACCACCACCGCAAGTAACGCAATCCTTCAGGCGGTTAGTAAACTGCCTTCCAGCCTCGTCGCCGCTCCTGCTGTGCGGGGATTTCCACATGCATCACCCACAGTGGGAGCCATTCTTGGAGACTTCTCCAAGCGAGGTTGCTGCAGAATTTTTAGAACTGTGCACGGATGCGGGACTCACCTTGGTTAACACCCCTGGTGAGATCACGTATGCCCGTGGCACAAGAGAACGATCCTGCATCGATCTGACATGGTCAAAGCATTTGACTGTGTCGGATTGGTCAGCTTCTGTGTCGCCGCTTAGTGATCATTATATGCTGACATTCACGCTGCATCAGGCGTTTAAGGATACCATACCTTCGGCACCTAAGTTTTTCTACAGTTGGGGGAAGCGCAAGTGGGATTTATTCATCAAGGACTTCGACGCACAACTTCCGGCATACGACTATAAAAAGCAGTCCACCGGCATTAAGGCTTTCACGAGAGCGCTTATAACTTCGTATCGACGACATTGCCCCCGCGGCATGCACAAGGACGGTCCCAGGCTTTGGGACGACACTCTCATGGAGGCAGAGCGGATTGCTACCGACAGCAGGGCCCGCTATCTACAGTTACCGACGCCCGACCGTGAGGCAGAAATGCAACGGACAAGGAGTCAATTCTTCCTCCTACTCCGAGAGCGCTTGCGCAACACGTATTTACGCCGCATCAGCAAGTTAAATCCAGGCGAGCCACTCGCATGGAAATACATTTCCGGACGAAAAAAGGCATCACTTCCATCTCCCACATCAATGTTATTAGGAGATGGTCAACACACTTATAAAACAGCAAGGAGGGCAGCGAATGCTCTCAATCGAATCTTTCTTCCATTTCACCCCTCTCACAAGGCAGTTAGGTTTTCCAAAGGCATCAACAGACAGAGTGCTTCTTTGAACATTAACGCTTCTTTTCTTTTTTGGGCAGCAGAACAACAGCGAGTCTGCCGCTACATTTACTTCAGGTTCTTCACTCTCCTCTAGTTCTGAGCCACAGGATAAAAACGAAGCTGCCACCACATCTGGTTTAGTTGCTCATCTTCACTCCCCTCTTGATGCACCTTTTAATCGTACGGAACTGCTTGCTGCGCTACGTAATGCGCCGTATGGCAGGGCCCCCGGACCGGATGAAGTCTACAGTGAGGCACTGCGACATATTTCGTCAAAGGGCCTCCGATTCCTTCTTCGCCGCATTAACCACAGTTGGACGACCGGTACGATTCCGGCTGGGTGGATACGCGCTACCATCGTCCCACTCTTAAAACCCGGTAAGTCGCCGGAACTGCTTGAGTCATATCGACCCATCAGCCTTACTTCCATTGTGAGTAGGGTTGCTGAGAAAATGGTACTGAAGAGATTGCTTTGGGTGTGGACGCCGCACCCCCACCAGTATGCACATCGTAGTGTGCGTAACACGACGATGCGACTGGCACACCTGATACACGAAGTGGAGCATAATAGAAATCATTATTTCCAGGTGAGCCTTCCCAAGAAGAGCGGTATTGGCAATCAACTCCGCTACAGACCCCATCGGACCCTGCTGGTGCTGGTTGATTTCAGCAAGGCCTTTGACTCCATCGATCATCGAGTCCTCAGTCGCTTGCTGGCTAATATTCCGGGGGTGAATTGTAGAGGGTGGCTTAGAAACTTTCTATGTGGTCGCTACGCGAAGACACGAGTTGGCCACAGACACGGCGATCGGCGTCCCATGCTGCGAGGAGTTCCTCAGGGGTCCGTACTGGGACCGTATTTGTTCTCCCTTTACGTAGACCCACTTCTCAATCTGCTGAACAGCTTTGCGGGTGTCACAGCAGACATGTATGCGGACGACCTCTCTATTATCGTTAAGGGGCAGTCCCGGGAAGACGCCATTCCCACTGCCAACATGGTTCTTCAAAAACTGCATGCGTGGAGTCAGGAAAATGGCCTGGCCATCAACCCGTCAAAGCGTGAAGCCGCTTGGTTCACACTCTCCACGCACACGGAGTCAGATTATGATCGTGAAGGAAGGTGGCCCCTGGTAGTGGCTGGATGTCAAATCCCAGTCATGACCATGGGGGCATCGCGAACTAAGAAGCTTCTCGGCATGGATCTCGATCCACGACTGACGCTAAATGTGGCGGCCACCAAGCAATGCGCTGCCACTTCGCAACGGATATCGCAGCTACGCTGCATAGCGCACAAAGAGGCGGGACCATCTCCACATGACCTACGCACGTCCGTCATTGGATACGGTGCTCCAAATTACGCTATGGCAGCGAGCTCATATGGGCAGTAGCGACGGATTCAGCGAAGAATGAGATGCAGAAGACGTACGCAACTCTGGCACGCATTGTCAGCGGAGTTCCGAGCACTGTCGACCCGGAATCCGCACTACTGGAGGCTAATATGCCGCCGCTTCACGTCCTTTGCCCGCGCGCGCGGCTCTCCATATTTGAGAACACACGCGCATGTCAGATGGACTAGATGCGGAGACCCCCGCCTGAGCCACCGCCTCGCGCCGGTTTCCGCATCTCGCCATTATCTCGGGACGAGCTATATGCCTTCGTAGACGCATACACAAAGGACTATGGCATCACCGAGAGCTCACCACGCGAAGAGCGGTTATTTCGCAGCCCCATTCCTCCCTGGTTTGCGGCCTCCGCTCGCCGGGCCACCATCGGTGTGGAACTTCCGATAGACCACTCAATAACTGACGAAGAAGAGCTGAGAAGGGAAAAGCGCAGAGTCAGCGAAGAGGCTCTGGCGTTGCACAGCCATCGTTCGTGGATACTTGCGACGGATGGCGGTGTCGACGTTCCCAATTCAGCAGGGGTTGGAATACTGCTTTCATCCCTCAACTCATCGGAGACAATAGAAAAGGCCAGCATAAACTGCGGTGCGCGCCCATGCAGCTACAGGACGGAATCCCGCGCACTGCTTCTAGCCCTAGAGAGGCTGATGATTCCTCGTATCCGCCACAGGCGTAAAACCCTGCTTGTGGTTACAGACGGTCAGTCTCTTCTAGCGGCTCTAAGCAAGGGCCCGCTCAGTCAGACAGACTGGACGGAGGATCGGATCTGGCAGCGTCTCTTGACACTGACGCGTGCTGGCTGGTCCGTGCACCTGCAGTTTTGTTACGGACATTGTGGAGTACATGCTAACGAGCTTGCAGATCAGCATGCGACGCAGACCATGGAAAGTGGACAATACACGGAGCAAGGAATCGCACCTTTATGGCATACGGATCTGCTGACATGTTTTACTACCCAGCTCACCAACAAGTGGCGTAGTACCATTCGTCAAGGCACTCATCGCTACTTGCTTTGCGGCACAAGGCCATCAGATCTCAGCGGTAAGGACCTGATCACTCAGGAAGTTCTACACCGTCAGGAACTGGTTCACCTCGCAAGGGCAAGGTGCGGGGGATCTGAGCTCTGGGGCCGACTATACTGGGCCGTGAGAGATTGCACGAACCAATGCCGTTTCTGCAACATCTCACCGGAGCAGTCTGCATATATGCGCTCTAACAACGATCCAACGGCACCGGGGACGGACACTGTTCCCCCGTCGGCGAGGGAGGAAGACGTCTCTCCAGTAAGCAGACGGACCCTCACACGCCGTCGGAAGGAGAAATGTCCGCACTGTGATTCTACATTGACGGGATTCTCGGGTCTCGTCAGTCACTGTCGGTTATTTCGTCAGGAACATCCTCCACCGCTTCCCGAGCTCAAATGTGATTTCTGCAACATGGTTTTCCCCACACGGAGAAGCACCGCACAGCGCAGAAGTCGCTGCGCACACAACCCAGACGCCACACGGCATCGAAACAGCAGTGCCAGGAGGCGATCTCTGCTGCCGCAGGATCAGCCAGCTTCCACAAGCACGCCCATCGGCCCGCAGGAAACCTTGCACCATCTGCTTCTAGAATGTCCAGGCACCTTGGCTGTGCGTCAACGGCTGGGCATTGAACAGGACCTTCGCCTCGGAAAGTTCTCTCAATGGCAGTTGCTTCATAGCAGGAAACTTTTGTCGTTGCTCGACCACCTCTTCGGCACTCAAATGGCACTGTATAGCTAGACGCGCTGGTAAGACTAGAAAAAAAATATCTTCTGGACGCCGCGCTCTTACGAGAAAGGAGGCGAAAAGGTCCGGAGAGCGAGGGACCTATCCAACGTCAGCGCCGCCCGAGCGGTGGTGGCGGATAAGCTGCATAATTTTGTCGGCGCTTGCCGACGCCGCGCGGGGTCGTGTTGCAGTACGCCTTGGAAAGGGGGATCACGTCTCATTTTGCTGTTGTTATGCCTGGGGTTGTTTGTTCGAAAGTTTTCTTTTTGACTATGGTGTTTATCTATGTTTTTTCTGTGTTTGAGGTCTGAGCTTTTTCATAAATAATGAGTGTTCAACCTCATTTTTGTTTTTTATGTATATAAAATGTTTGAGATCTCAGTTTTTTCTGTTTATGATAGGTACTGCTTCTTTTCTTTTACTGTAAATTTTTTTTGACCCTTTTGTTGAGCTCTACTTTCATTTAAAGTCTTCCATGAGATTGGTGGAGTTTTTATTGCCGTTACTGGTTATTCTCCTTGGATTCCCTGTAGTTTTCTGCTATGGAGAAAGCACGGCATCTGGCGGTGATGTTCACGCAATACCAATTGAAATCCACCGCATTATTGCGGTTGGAGATGTGCATGGTGATACTGAAAATTTTCGGCAAATTTTATCCATGGCAGGTATTGTATCTTATTCCTCCAATGCCGACAAACAGCTGTTGTGGAAGCCGATGTGGGATGAGAAGGAGATTGAGTTGCATAAAAGACATCATACGAAGCTTCGATCAACCCTTATACAGATGGGCGATTTGATAGATCGTGGGGAGGATGATTTGGGAGTTCTTGAAATGGCTTTTTCTCTTTTTGAACAGGTCAAATCAAATCATACGAGTGATAATATTGTGCTGCTTTTGGGTAATCACGAGCTACTTAATCTTCAAGAACAGTTTTATTATGTTCATCCGGAAACTATGGGTGGATTTTTGAGCAAAACCTTGCGTAAGCGTGCATTTGAACCCAGTGGTACGTTTGGGCGTTTTCTGTTGGACAAATTCAATGTACTTTATTTTGACGCGGAGACCGTCTTTGTTCATGCCGGTATTGATCAGCATTTTGCTTCTGTGGGAGTGGAGATGCTAAATAAAAAAACGATGCAGGCGATTCGTGAAAAAGATTACGGAAACCCTCTTCTTGGTACTTCTGGCCCTTTATGGACACGAAAAATGATAACGGATGCGGCAAATGGTCGCTGCACAGGTATTCAAAAAATGCTTTCTTTTATTGGGGCGAAAAGGATAGTTGTAGGTCATACGCCCCAGAGATCAGGACATGTAGAAGTGTTTTGTAATGATAGCGTCATTGCTATTGATGTCGGACTGAGTAGATGGATGTATGGTAATCTTGCTGCTCTTGAACTAATGGTTACATCATATAAATGCGATTTGGGTATCTGCAGAGATGTTGTTATGCGTGAAATAACTAATTCAGATGCTAGAAGATCCCAAACAATTGATGAGAGTCTTAAAGACTCCTTGCTTTTGGAAGAACTGATGCATGCAGTGGAGGAATTTTATCAATCACCAAAGGATAACCCGCCAGAAGATACAGATTATGAATTGTGATTTTGAGTCCTTTTATTTTTTTGTCCCACCCTTTTTTTCTTTGGGTTATTATAAAGGCGCGCTTGTCATATACAACTCTTTTTAAAATATTTGCTGCTACTGCCTGAATTTAATCACAAAATGGCGCTTGCTCACGTTAATCTTTTTCTTTTTTTTTTGCATTTTTTCATAGCATATATATATTTTTGAAAGGCGTGACTCATCTGTGCCCAATGCCCGGTAGAAGGACACACAAGAGAAGTAATCATCCTGCCGATTTTGCGGCGCCTCCACTTAACACTATATCGACTGGATATCCGTTTCATGTCTCGCAGTTGCAACAAATGCTTTACCCGGGCGCGGCTCAAAACGGGATGTTTCAGTATGTTTCACAGACACCCCCGGTTCGATATGTTTTTACTCAAAGAAACTACTCATCCGCCTTTGGGAATGTGCCAGTAGATCATCCTCAAGGTAATAGAACTACATTCTCGAGCAGGAATCAGATGGACAGGATGGGCCATGAACGCAGTCGTGGGATGATGGTGAATCAGAATCCTTTTCAAGAACAAAATTCTGTCCCAGTCACGGCCGTAGCAAACTCAAAGGTATCTATTTGTAATGAGGAAGGTGTCTGGACAAAAAAAAATCTCTACGCCATGGTGAAAGCCTTTGTAGATGATCCCAATGCAGAAGAAATGTCATTTCCTCCAACTTTGTCTGCTGCGGAACGTCATATGGTGCATGAAATTGCATTAAATTTTAATTTGCACCATCGCTCAGCGGGATGCAAATCCGAACGCGTCTTAACCTTAAAAAAAATTGGAAGCATCAAAAATCAGGAAAAAGATCGAGAAAATGCGGCTTTTAATGGTGATCGTGTAAAAACGATTGATGGATATCAAGGTGCTCAAAGGCTTCCTGATGAATATATAAAATCAAGGATGAATGAAATCAGCTTGCTGTTGGGTCCCTTTTTAAGAAAGATGTATAGTCAATTGAAGGCAACAGCTGCGAAACCTCTCAGAAATCGCCATTTGGTTGTTGTACAACCAGGATTAATGAAAGCTCCTCAGGGAAATACCCAACATCAGAGGTACCGGGAATTACAGGAGTTTCGTAGATCATTACCTTCTTACAAGCGGAGAGATGAAATCATTAATGCTTTAAAACAAAACAATGTCTTGATTGTAAGTGGGGACACTGGATGTGGTAAGACAACTCAAATACCTCAAATTTTGTACGATTCTGAAGTCTTTCAAAAAGATCTAGAAATAATTTGCACACAACCTCGCAGAATCAGCGCACTTTCTGTTGCACAACGTGTTGCAGAAGAACGTGGTGAGACATGTGGAAACAGCTGCGGTTATATTATACGTTTTGATAATATGACAAGTCCTAGTACAAAGATTGTTTATATGACAACCGGTATACTACTGCGTCGCTTGCACACTGATCCACAGCTAAATGGTGTTTCGTGTATCATTGTGGATGAAGTACACGAAAGAGATGTGGAGACGGATTTTTGTCTGTTGCTGCTTCGTGACAGGCTAATAGAACAACAAAGAAATAATCAACTATACAAAAATCATGTGAAGGTGGTGGTGATGTCTGCCACTGTACAGATAGAGAAGGTAGCGTCGTATTTTGTCTGCGTATGTGGTGGAAGAGCTCCGCCTATTATTAGCATCCCGGGAACGTTGTTTCCTGTAGAGGAATGTTTTTTGGAAGAGGCCTTAAAATGGACTCATTTGCCACCTTCCGCGGTCCCTGCTATCTCCATGTTGGCTAATGTTTCAGAAAAAAAAAGCAAAAACGGCAATTCAGAGGATAGGAATGATGGCTCTATTTTTGAAAAGATTAAGGCTACTGTTTTTGGGGAAACAGATAATGATCCAGAGGTTTTGGTACCTTATGATCTTGTATTTAAGCTGATTTCTTATATTCATGCCAGTTCCCATGACTTATCAGAAAGTATATTGATATTTCTTCCGGGATGGGCTTCTATAAGCCGAGTGAATACTATGATTCAACGCTCTCCTATTGCTCGTGAGTTGTCCGTTTTACAGCTTCACTCGAGCTTGACGGCAGCTGAGCAGCAAAGAGTTTTTTACCGACCTCCTAAGCGGTTTCGAAAAGTTGTACTTTCCACAAATATTGCAGAGGCAAGTGTAACTATTGATGATATTGTCTATGTTATTGATAGTTGTCTGACAAAAGGTACATCTTACGATGCCCGTGGAAATACCTCAGTTCTTAAGGCAACATTTATCAGTAAAGCAAATGGTATGCAGCGTCGAGGTAGAGCTGGTCGTTGCAGAGCAGGTGTGTGCGTTCATCTTCTTCCTAGGTCTGCATATGAAAAACTTCCTGAATTTCTTTTACCGGAAATTATGAGATCTCCACTGGAGGACGTCTGTTTACAAGTAAAAGCCTTGAAACCAGATGAGGTTTGTGCAAAAGTGTTGAGCCGTGCTATGGATCCTCCACCAGCAGATTCTACAGAACATGCGGTTAGGTTTTTAAAGGATATGGGTGCCTTTACTTCTGAAAAAGAGCAAATGACAAATCTTGGTCGAGCCCTCTCAAAACTTCCTATTCATCCTCTTTTGGGTAAAATGCTTTTGGCTGCGGCATGTCTGGGAGTATTGGAGCCTGTTGTAACAATTGCAGCATATCTTTCCGGAAAATCACCATTTATTAAACCCTTACCGCATCAGAAGAACGCCATGCGAAATGCGGTGCAATCCATTGACAATGGCCTACTATCAGATCATCTCAGTGTTATGAAGTTATTTGATGAATGGAAGAAAAGCAATTGTAGTGCTGATTACGCGATGCAAAATTTTGCAGATCAGACTGTATTACGTTCGATGGATCGCATCCGGAAACAGTTGTTACGTCTTGTGAAAGACTCTTCATTATTAAGAAAGGTTGAAGACCCTATGCGAATGGCTTCTCGACACTCGAGTAACTTGGGGCTAGTTCGGCTGGTGGCTCTTTGGTCTCTTTACCCTCGTATTGCGTCAGTGGAGTATCGAGCGAATCGTAGCAGGAAAAGGCCAGAAATTTTTTGTTGGGATAATAAAGTTGCCCAATGTGCAATGGGGTCTGCGCTGGCATTTAAAAATCGAGACGATTTTCGTGACAGGGCCTTTGTTTTTTATCATGAACGGATGTATCTTGAGGCAAATTTAACGGTTTTTGATGCCAGCGCTGTGACACCTGTGGAGGTAGCCTTGTGTCTTCGTGAGTTTGCGCTTCGGCCTTTGACTGATGTTCCTCCAGCATTTCTCACTGATGATGAAAGCAAAATGGCACCTGCATTTCCATTTGTTTTGGAGAGAGAAGAAGAGGCAAAGGATCTTGCGGTATTATTTTTTGATGGTGATAAGAAACTGTACGTGACATCCCTACCAGTTGGCTTGCTATTGCGTGATGTTAGAGAATGTATGGACTATTATCTTGCCCTGTCTATAAAGGAAGTTAGAGCTGATCTTTTTCCCGAGGATTTGATACGTGTTTTGGCGTACGTTGTTGGATATCCTTTTAGTGACGAGGTGAGCGCAATTGACAATAACACAAGTGATAAGCCCGTTGTTACATATGGGGAAGAAGAATCATTAGAACCGACAACAATTGATTGCAGAAGCGCCCAATTAAATGATATTTCTGATGATGAAGATGATGCACCTGAAATTTTTATGGAGGATTTTGAGGATCTTCAGATGACTGAGGAGGAAATTCAGAGAGCGATTGATGTATTTGGGGAATTGGCCATTTTAAATCGCCAAGGTGGTTTGCGTCTGCTGGGAGCGTTTGAAAAGGGAGTACAACTGCGACAGGTTGAAGCTGATTTAAGTAGAGGGCCAGAAGGTGATTTTTTTTCAGAGGAAAGGGAACAGAAGCTGAGGAATGAAGATGCTAAAAAATCTGATGAATGTGATGACGAGGAGGATGAGGATGACGACATTATCATTGCCAAAGCAGGTGAATTGGACATAGATGATAACGAATACTAACTGAATGATACTGTGTGCGTCTAAATTACACTTCAGGAAACCAGCAATTTTTTTCTCTTAGTCCTCTTTTTTATAACCTTACTTTTACAGGGCGCTTTTTTCTAGTTTTTGGGAAAAATGTAGACAATGACTATTTGTGCTTGTTGACTTTTTTTTTTTTCGGGGGATAGGTTTCATTATTTTTTTTTTTCTCTGTTGAATTTTCGATGGGTCGTGACGGAGCCCCCAAAAGGAGGTGGATAATTTTTTTTCACCCTTTTGTTCCACCGACCCCTTTTATTTTTGTTGGACACAACTTACCCCGGGGTTTCCGGGTCGTTGGGTGGAGAGAGAGAAAGAAGGAGAGAGATGTAAAGATGGGATGCTAATTCGTAAGTGGTAAGCGAAGATAAGTTTTTTTGTTTATGTATGCGGCGTGCGTCTGTTTTTTTTTTTTTTTTTTGGGCTGCACTGGCCACTGGTTTGTTGGCCCGTGTGTCTGTGTGTGTGAACTGTTTTTTGTACAATGATATATTTATTTTTTTATTTTCCTTTTAATTTTAATTTTAAATGCATTGCAATAACAAAAAAAAAAAAGGATGTTGAAGTTGATTTCTCCTCTAAGACCCAAGCGCATCTGGAAGGCGTCCTCATAAATTGCACTTGGGATTGAACGTCGGTGGAGGTCTGGAACGCTAAAACAAAATGAGTGCTTCAATAGAATCCAATATGTCTTTTTGGGTGCACCCAACCAATCATGATGCAGAGACATACAAGTTGTATATAAATCGTCTTGTTTTTATAGATACTGCAGAGGATAGTAGCCGATGGTTGGCCCGTGCAAAAAAACAGTGGGGGTTCGATCAGCCCATCGCCATTCGCGTGATGAACGAGTCGGAACACCTGGGCACTACAACTCCCCAAATGATTGGGAGTCACGCTGGTTGGACGGGTATTAGTTGGACGGGGGACGCGAATGATGGGGTGGGCATTGACGTTCCCAATCATCAGGGGCCAATGTTGGTGTTGGAGGTCGTAGGGGGAAAGAGCACACTCTCAATATACGGAACCGGATTAATCAATAGCTCCGGAATGGCAACAGAGAAACGACAGTATGCCAAATATTGCGTTCATCTATTTCCAACTCAGACCACTTTTGATTCTGAGACGGTGTTTGCCGTTGTTGAGGCGGAGATACGCAGCAGCGCGTGGGATGGACGTCATGGAGATGAATTTGCTCCATTGGAGTACAACTTTGGTTCTGTGCGAGTGTCCACATTGGATTTCTACTTTCCTTCCTTTATGTTGACTGGAACAGGAGAGTATATCGTTTCCAATTTGGTTTGTGCAATGAATATGACGGAAAACAGTGCATTAGCCATGCAATTAGTACCCCTCATGGATGCACGTGATTACATTTCGGTAGAGCCTGCCCAAGTTATCACGGTAAAACCTCAACAACGAGTATATTTCACTGCGACATGGAGTATTGATGAACGGGCATGCATGAAAGAACTTCAAGTGCAGCTTGTTGTTAATGGTTCACAGCCTCCTTCCGCCCCTATTAATATTAGTGTTTATAATTGTCCTCCCCAGCTAAAGTCAACGGACACACCGTACCACTACTGGTTAAACACAACATGTGTCACAAACAGACAGTTTTCTCTATCACAGGAGTTTTCATTGGTGTTTGCACTTTTGCCTGTGTTTCGCTTCGTCTTGAATGGTCGGGTGGCCGGACTGGGTGCGGAGGGCGTTATTGTTGCTCTGGATAAGGACAAAGGGGAAAACGTATTGGTGCGTGCAGACGGTGTTCCTGTCGTTAATGTATTGAGTGCTGGTTTATCGACGTCATTGCTTGATTCAAGCTTTGAAAGTAATGCTTGGGCACAGGCGGAAAAAAAAGCATGGAGTATGCCAGATGATGGAAGGCAATTTGCACTCGATACACTCTCTATGAATCTCTTAGAAAAGACATGCCAGTGTACTATTCATCTCGGAACTATACGCGGCTTCCCAATGGTATACGAGGTATCGACAGGTATCTCTCCTTCTTTCCAAGTGAGCATTACGCTACTGGATCAAAAAGGCTGGCAAGTGGTGAAAGGGGAGACGAAGGCAAGGTATCAAAGCGCGAGCGGCAGTTTGCGTTGGGATGACCAGCTTGTTCTAAGAAAGTGGCCAGGTGCCAGTTCAAAGCAATTTGCACGACTGAATCTTACAGAGGTTCGTCCGCGAGATGGTGATGAGACACCAATTGGCGCAGCATTGGTGTCGCTTTACCGCCTTGACCGCACACGTCTTCATGTAGGCATCCAATTGGCCTTTCATGTGTACGAGACCTATTCTTTGTATGATACCTTGCATTCCTCGAGTCTCCTCATGACAGACGCATTCATCACTTTCTCTGAGCTTCCTTTCTAACTGTGGGATTCAGGGACAACAATGGTTATTTTTCTTGCTTATTGGAGAAATGAAACCACACAAACAGGAAAACACGCAAACAGAAGGAAGTGCGTCCAAATGATAATAAAAAGATGGTTTAGCCGTGTACATGAGAGAATATGTGTATTTCGCTTGTGTAGCTTTTTGTTTCCTTTTTTTTTTCTTTACTATTTTTATACATGCAAATGCAATTCTATTGCTACGTATGTAATGCATATATATATATATATATATATATATATATATATATATATATATCTGCCTTTCCCTCTGTTTTTTTATTTATTTTGCATCTCTATTGAGCTAGTCAAAAAGAGGTCCCAAATGGTGAAGGCGAACTATATTCGCGCGGGGCGCTTGGTGCGCATCATCCGCGGCCCCCGTCAGGACCGCGTCGGCGTTGTTGTTGACATCATCGACGGCAACCGTGTGCTTGTGGAGAACCCCGCAGACAAAAAGATGTGGCGCCACGTGCAGAACCTGAAGAACGTTGAGCCGCTGAAGTTCAGCGTGGAATTGAGCCGCAACTGCAGCACACGGACACTGAAGAATGTACTCGCGGAAAAGAAAATTCTTGAGAAGTACGCCGCCACGAAGTCCGCTAGACGCATTGCAGCAAAGAGGGCATTTGCAAGGTCGACAGACTTTGAGCGCTATCAACTGCGTGTCGCCAAGCGCTCTCGTGCCTTCTGGACGCGCAAGGTTTTTGACGAGAATGACAAGAAGAAACCCGTCTCTTGGCACAAGGTTGCTCTCAAGAAGCTGCAGAAGAACGCCAAGAAGGTTGACAGCAAGCCAGCAGCCAAGAAGCGCATTGAGAAGGCCCGCGCTGCTCGCAAGGCCAAAGCCGCCGCCGGTAAAAAGTAAGAAAAAACAGCTGGTGCGTGGTGCCACTCTTTGACATGCATGATGAGTTTGAGCCTCCTCATTTTATTTTGTTATTTTATTTTCTAATCATTTTGTCTTTTTTCTCTTTCAGCGCCATTTTCTTCTGCACCCTGAGCTCCTGACTCTCTTTTTTACACATGTCATATTGGACAATTTTTTATCTATTTTATTTCCTTGTCTTTTTTTTTTTTGACAAAATGGAAATGAACTTGAATTCACCCAATTTTGTTGTTGTTGTTGTTGTACAGTCCTACTTTTCTTGTGACCCACCTGAGCCTGCATGTTGCTCATTGGTCTGACAGGTGGCATTGCGTGTGGGAAGTCCACGGTATCGACGATGCTGGAAAAGCAACATCATCTTACGGTAATTGACGCGGACCGTGTTGTGCGGGAGCTGCAACGCCCTTCAATGCCATGTACACGCAAAATAGCGAGACGGTGGCCGGGGTGCGTAAACTCTCAAACGGGCGAGATTGACCGTGCCGCTTTGGGCGAAATCATCTTTCGTGATCCGCAGGCTCGCCGTGAGCTGGCACGCATCATGAATTTTCCGATTTTTTCTAAAGTTATGCTGTTGTTGGTACGGTTTTGGTGGGAAAGCATGAAACAAAGAATGAGGGGTGAGGGACCTCTTCTTGTGGTACTCGATGCACCGCTCCTATACGAGTCTAACATCTATACATGGTTTATCGACAGGGTTGTGGTGGTGGGATGTAAAGAGGAGGAGCAACTTGCTCGCCTTGAGAAGCGCAATGGATTCACACGTGAGCAGGCGATGCAACGCGTACGAGCTCAGATGCCGATAGAAGAAAAGTGTAGGCGCGCCGACTACGTCATCCACAACAGCGGAACCCTAACGGAATTGTTTTTTTCCGTCAAAGACAGTGTAGAGTGGATGCGCCAACAGTCTGGCTTCAAGATGAATACTATTGTTTTTGTTTCCGCCGCAGGCGGTACTGTGTGCCTCGCGGCTGTGGTGCATTTGCTTTGCCATCTGCCATGGTGACAGTAGATGAAAGGGGAAGGACGCCTTCAATGATGCAAAAATAAGGATATTATGGGGCAGGTATGGGTTTTACAGAATTTGTTTTGTATTCTTTGCCAGTTTTACCTGTTCTTAGTTAACGGAGCTTTTGTGGTGTTCTGCTTCCTTCTGTTACATCGATATATGTATATATATATTGTTTTTCCCTCGCATCTTTCCTTGTGATTTATTTATTTCTGTTTGTGCAAAGAAAAGGCTTTTGCTTACCTATCCACTTCCTCCATCTTCCTTCTGCGTGTGCTACCACAACGACGAGGGCCGCAAGAATGACTGAGTGGCCCGTCAACCGTGTGCGCCAGGAGTTTCTGAAATTCTTTGAGCAGCGAGGACACAAGTTTGTCCCATCTAGCCCTGTCGTGCCAAACAATGATCCCACACTGCTCTTTATCAATGCCGGCATGAATCAATTTAAAAATCTTTTTCTCGGCACGGCAGATCCCAATACGGAATTTGGTCGCCTTACCCGTGCGGCGAACTCACAACTTTGTATTCGCGCAGGTGGTAAACACAATGATCTGGACGATGTTGGTCGTGATACTTACCATCACACCTTTTTTGAGATGTTGGGTTCATGGTCGTTTGGTGACTATTTTAAACGCGACGCAATCCGCTGGGCATGGGAACTTTTGACCGAGGTGTACAAGCTTCCAAAGGACCGTCTTTATGTGACATACTTTGAAGGGGACCCTGAAAACGGCATAGCAGCCGATGAAGAGGCGAAACAATTGTGGTTGGAGCTTGTGAAACCCGAGCATGTTATATCTGGTAATGCCAAAGACAACTTTTGGGAAATGGGCGATATAGGACCTTGTGGACCTTGCTCGGAAGTTCACTTTGATCGTCTGGGTGGTCGCAATGCGGCCGAATTGGTGAATAAGGAAGATCCAATGGTGATCGAGATTTGGAACCTTGTTTTTATGCAATTTGAGCGTCATGAGGACGGTGTGCTTGTACCGTTGCCGAAGATGCATGTAGATACAGGCATGGGGCTCGAGCGACTGACGTCCATTATGCAAGATGTGCATTCGAACTACGATACAGACGCCTGGACGCCACTCTTTGAGGCCATTCAGGCGGTAACGGGCTACGAAAAGTCATATGCCGAAATACGTGATCAAAATGACTCCGATGCAACCGTGGCGTACCGTGTGATAGCAGATCACATTCGCTGCCTCAGTGTTTCCCTGGCGGATGGCGCCATGCCCGATTCTGTTGGTCGTGGTTTTGTGTTGCGCCGCATAATCCGCCGCGCAGTCCGCTACGGTTTGCAGTTCCTTGGCGCAAAGGTTGGCTTCTTTAGTGAACTTGTTGATGCTGTTGTGGCGTCGTTGGGGCCCTTTTTCACGCACATGCAAGATCCTCGCACGGTGCAGCGTATAAAAACTGTGCTTGCCGACGAGGAGGCATCCTTCGCCAAGACATGGGATGTAGGTCTTAAGCACTTAAACAAGGCCGTTGCTGACGCAGTTGACAACACCATCAGTGGTGATAATGCCTTTATTCTTCACGATCGCTATGGCTTCCCTGTGGATTTGACCTGTCTGCTGGCGGAGAAGGCAGGATTACGTGTGGATATGAACGGCTTTCACGCGGCCATGAAGGCAAATCAACTAAGTGCTGGTCGTGTCGCTGCTGCAAAGACATTCCTCGATGTTCACCAACTGGAGGAGCTCAAACAGATGGGTATCGCCCCAACGGAGGATGCCGCAAAGTACATCTGGAAGAATCGTACCGCAGAGGTGAAGGCCATTTTTAACAAGAAGACAGGAACGTTTGTAGACATGCTGATGCCTGGAGAGGAAGGCGAGGAAGATATCGGCCTCATTATGGATGTCACAAACTTTTACGCGGAGTCTGGTGGCCAAATATACGACACTGGGCGCATTGTAGCTGCTGCCGATGCCGTGTTTGAAGTAAAGAAGGTTTATAATCTTGGTGGCTACGTGGTACATTTGGGACGCATGATGACAACAAACTCAACGGCTGTACCTATTCCTGTAACGTCTTCTGTGGATTTGCAGGTTGATTACAAACGGCGGATAGCGATTGCTGCGAATCACTCCATGACACACGTCCTGAACTGGTGTCTACGACGCGTGCTAGAGGACGAAGCTCCTGAGAATTACATGGAGGTTCAACAGAAGGGGTCCCTTGTCACCGAAGAAATGCTACGCTTTGACTTCAGCTACAATAGTAAGGTCAGTCAAGAAGATCTCGTCAAGATCGAGAAGGCCCTTAATGAGAAAATTCAACAGGGGCTAGTGGTGTACCGCAAGGAGGTGGAACTTGAAAAAGCCAAACATATTGTGGGGCTGCGGCAGATGTTCGGCGAGAAGTACCCAGACCCCGTCAGTGTCATTTCTGTTGGCGTCCCAGTCGATGACCTTCTTGCAAAGCCTGAGAGTGCAGAGTGGCGTGCGTACGCTGTGGAATTTTGTGGTGGTACCCACTTGTCGAACATAAAAGAGGCAGAGGTTGCGGTTATCCTTTCAGAGGAAGCACTTATGAAAGGGGTTCGACGGATTGTTGTGGCGACACGCGACGCCGCACGCGAGGCCCGTGCACGGGGGGAACTGCTGGAGAAGGAATATCGTGATATCGTCGCCGGTGGTATGACGGATTCAACCGCTAAGAGCCTCTCGGTCCTGAACAAGAAGGTCGGTGACAGTCTCATCCCGCTCACGGTGAAAAATTCACTGCGGGAGGAAATCGACGGGAGCGTCCGGGCTGCCATTGCCAATGTGAAGGCGATGGCTGCGCAACTGAGGGAGAAGGCCACCGTTGCAGGACGAGCGGAGGCGGAGGCGTATGACGCGGTGGAAAACCCCTTTTTTGTTAAGCGACTCAGCGATTTTGGTGCTGAACGCGAGGCACTGCAGGCATACGCTGATGGATTTACAAACGCCGTGCAGGGCGACGTTGGTGTTTTTCTCTTCGGCACCGATGCGAACAAGGCACTCGCGCTGGTGACGCTTCCAAAGGCGTTTACGGCGAAGAAGCTAAGCGCTGTCGATTGGGCAAAGGCAGCAATCGGGAAAGGTGGCGGTAAGCCGCACGCCGCACAGTCAGGCCTTACCGCTGCCGACGTCGATGTGGCGATGGAGAAGGCGCTTGCAGAGGCCGCAAAGATGAAGACTGCGATGTGATTTGTTTTCGATTACATTCAGGCGGAAAAAATAAACAAACAAAAGTAGATAACCAGGAGGTGTGCCCAAACTCGTTGAGCGAGATGAGGGCAGACATAGCATTGGTAAACATGGAACCGGGCAAGAAAGAAGCAAGCATACAAGCAAATAAGAAGGGAAGGGTGGAAGGGGATGAAAATGAAAGGAAAGGAAAGTTGTTAACGACCTTCATTGTCGTTATTTATCATAATCCCTCTTGGGAAGGAGCGAAAGAGTATTCACCAGTTTGGTGACCCATAAAAGTCAAGGAACGGAAGAAAAAACAACAACAAAAAACACACAAAAAAACAAAAAACGAAAGTTAGAACGAAAAATTAATCGAAATTATTTGTTGGGCTTGATGAGGAGGATGAAAGAAGGCTAAGACGGGACTTACTTTTCCTTTGCGGTTTGGTTCGGATGGAGATTTGTTTGCTTCTCATCCTCCTTTGCTGCTATACTGTTTTTCTTTTCTTTTTTCTCTTTGGGTGGCACGTGGCGAAGGAGGGAGAGAAGGGCATTATTGGTGGGCAATAGGTTACCCGCCTTGGTGTGTGTATTTTTTTTCTCACGCAGAGCACCATGTCGGCAGATGAAGCAAAAGATGGAAAATCCCCACCACCTGTGGAAAAGGAAGAAGCAGCGATGGAGCGGGACGAGAATGACATTGGCCTGCAGCCAGCTCCTATCGCGCTGGTGCTGCGTCACCAGTGGGCAGCCGAGGCCCTGACCGCCATGAAGGAAGAGGAGAGCGTGGACCGTCTGAGCCTTGTGCGGTCATATTACAGCGGCTTTCTCGCCATTGTGTCCCAGTCGATTCACACACTGCATCTTGATTCCATCGCCCTTTCCAGGGTGCAGGCGCAACAACAACTCATCACAGGATTGAGGTGCATGCCAGTTCCAATGAACTCCAAAAAGAGAGTCAGTGATTCTGCAGCAAGTAGAGCAAGGCGACGACGTGCAGTAGACTTATCGGATGGCGATACAGAGCAGGGAAACGATAAAGAGTCTTCGAAAGGTTTTCTGCAGCGTTTGCGTTTGAACAGCTTTCGGCGAATGAATCAAGAGTTAATTGAGAGGCAGCGGCAGGTCGAAGCTTTTGCGGCAGGTGAGCTACGAAGGAGTGCAGCAACACGAAAGCAGGAAGAGCTGCTTTCCGCAAGAAGGTGTAGTAATGAATACAAGTATTCCATGGCGAAAAGTATGGCGGTTCGGGATATGCGGGCCCGACAGCGGACAGAAAAGTATGAGGATCAACAGAACACCGTTCAAGCACGGCAATCAAGCCTGCAAGAGTCACGCAACAGGAAGCCTTGCGACTCAGCGGCAGAGCACAAGGAGATGCAGCTGATCTTGAATAAACGCCGAATTCTTTTTGAGAAGGCGATGAAGGAATTGCAAAAGGTTGTGGATTGGATAAACGAGAGACACCACGGCGGGTGTGTTGGAGACACAGCCTTTATGGCCTCTGTGGCTTCTTCCATAGAGTCATCCTTTCCGACGGCGTTGTATCAGGCACCTAAGTCCCGTTGTAAAAAAAGAAATACGACTCCCATACGTGAGGAGGAATACGCGCGGCTGTGTGGTTTGAAGGGGGCCGCGATACGGTCTGTTGTTGCTTTTTCACAGGAATTGTCACCCACTGCTGCCGCACCGAATAACAGCATTGCACGGGAACTGCAGCATTTATGTATTTCTCCAATACTCTGGCACTGATGCGGTTTTTTCGGCGCTGTTGCCTTTCTGGCTTATCGAAATCATTTCTTTACTTTTTTTTTTCTCCTGTACCAAATC